TGATTCTCAGCACTAGGTGGAAAAGACCAAACTGGGCACATTTCACAGAAGAGAAACCAGAGGGACTCAGGGTGTCTGAGGGGTGGCTCAGGGGTTGGGCGTCTGCCTTTGGCTCAGGGCATGATCCCAGGGCCTGGGATCGAGTCCCGCATCGGGGTCCCCAAGGGAGCCTGCTTCTCCCTCTGCCTGTGTCTCTGCCTCCTCCCTGTGTCTCTCATGAATAAATAAAATCTTAAAAAAAGAGAGAGAGAGAGAAGAGAAACCAGATACTGACGTTAACAGCCTTGCTGACTCACGGGCCACGGATGTATCAGGCTCAGGAATCCATTTCTGTGGACTGGCTTCAAGCGCAGTCATCACCCCGCTAACCATCTGCATGAGACAAGCAGAATTCTTCTCTGCTGTGACTTTGTCCTTAAAATCCCCCGATTTCAGGATGAGACACTTTTGGCTAAATAGTTAAACCCTGATTGTGAGATGATTGATCATTCCGCAAGCTTCTAAACAAAAACCACCGAGCAGAAAGAGTTCATTCCTTTCCTGTTCTGCAGACATACTCTCAGCAGAGGATCCTGAACCCGGGTGATGCTCAGGATTAGCCACAGGGCTTTGGAGAAGGGACACTTCTGGGCAGCACCCAGACTTACGTGGGGCCAAGAAATCTCTTTTCTCTTCTCTTCTTTCTCTTCTCTTTCTTTCTTTCCTCTTTCTTTCTTTCTTTCTCTCGTGAAATCTCTATTTTCTTAAAGGTCCACAGCTGACGTGATACTCAGCTAAGTTTGGGAACTGCTGCTTTAGAAAAATGCTTTAGGGAAGTTTTGGTGGAAAACCTATCAGAAAAATCGAATAAAAGCTAATACTTGCTTTATGAGCGTGTCATAAAGACAAAACAAGTCTTAAAAAAGAACATTTACCGAGTATGTGAAAAGTAATCACAACAAATCATACATTTTTAAAAAGCTTTAACCTACCACAAACATCATTATTAATGAACTGCCTGACACAGGGCTGTGCTTAACGATATCCTGAAAATCAATCCACATTAGTTCATGAATCTCTTTTTAAATAAGATTGTTTACGGTGTGGATGTACCGCAGTGTGGACGGGCATTTAGGGTGTTTCCAATAGTTTTCAACGGTAATTGATGATCTTGTGTATATGTATTTTCGTATTACTGGAGGCGTATCCTCAGGACAAGTTCTGCGATGCAGGATCCCTGGGTCGAAGTGTAAACACCCACCCGTGTGGTTACTTGAGATGCCGCTAACTTTCATCCCATAGTAGTTGTGCCGGTTTTCCTTCCCAGCAGCAATATGCTAAAGGGCCTCTGTCTCCGTAGCCTTGCAGAGGATATTGTTCTCCTTTCAGTCATTACCAATCTGACAGGTGAGAGACGGCGTCTTGGTGTAGTTTTAATTTGCATCCCTCACGTCTCAGGGGTGAAGCTGAACATTTATGTTCAAAGGTTATTTTTATAGAGTTACTGTGACCTGATAGAGAGCTGAATATTCTGGTTTTTTTCCCCCTCAGGTATGATAAATACACTAGAAATTCCTATATACCAGTTTCTAACTTCATAAAATACATTTTATAGTCATAGAAAATAGTGTCATCATATAATTAAACTATGAATAATGGCTTTTCTTACTGAATGATAGATCTTACAGGTGTGTAGCTTAACTTTCATAATTCAAAGCCAGTCCTAGGAAAGGAAAAACAACAACAAAAAAAAAACCCAGCCAATTCCATTAATAGGTATTGTCAATTCTCAATTAAGAGCATTTAAGTACTCGAGACGCCCGGGTGGCTCAGTTGGTTAAGCGTCTGCCTTCGGCTCGGGTCATGCTTTGGCATGACTGCTCGGCAATGAGTCTGCTGCTCCCTCGTCCTCTCCCTCTATGATCTCTCTGGCCCTCACTCGCTCTCAAATAAATAAATAAAATCTTTTCCTTTTAAGAGTGTTTAAGCAGTCAATCCTAAATAGTAACATTTATTACGATATTTAAAATATTGTTTTACCTGTTTGACCATCCTAGTATCACCACTTAAAATAATTCATACAAAATCTAGAAATGTTTGCTATTTTATGTCATATTGTGATAATAGGGCCACAAATTAAATGTGTTGCAAAACATCGTTCCAGTACTCTATATTAGCACTTGCTTGTCTTCATTTAATACTACCTAGTGTTCATTATTTGTTCAAGTAGTTTCAGTTCTAGCAATTACGTGTCCACTTTTGTGAGTGTAAATGTTTTTGTCTAGTGATGTGTGAACGTGCATACGTGTGTGCACGCACGCGTGCATTAACCAAATGTTTCAGTCACATCATATTGGTCAAAACTGATCTTGGAAGATTGGTTGTGGAACACATAAGAGGAGTAGAAAAATACTTTGTCTTTATTTGTATTTTTTTTAATTTTTATTTATTTATGATAGTTACAGAGAGACAGAGAGAGAGAGAGAGAGAGAGGCAGAGACACAGGCAGAGGGAGAAGCAGGCTCCATGCACCGGGAGCCCGACGTGGGATTCGATCCCGGGTCTCCAGGATCGCGCCCTGGGCCAAAGGCAGGCGCCAAACTGCTGCGCCACCCAGGGATCCCAATACTTTGTCTTTAAACTTAGAGTACAAAGGGCGATTTTTATAGTCTTTGTCCATTTGAATTAACTGTGATGTCCAACAAAATTTTCTGCAATACTCCTCCAACAAAAAATAATAATGAATGATTTGAAGCAAATTGTGCTTTTCTAGAAAATGTTCCACTATCGAAAGGACATGATGATAATATTCCAGGATAATTTTCTAATAAACATAGTAAAGCTTCCTAGTTTTGTATTTTTATCCGATTTTCTGATTCCATGAATGTAATTTATTTTATTGGGCAGGCCAGAGTTGCATTTGTTGCTTCTGAGCTGGGAATTTTATATGAGTAATGCTTTTTTATTATTATTATTCTCACTATTTTGATCATCAAATAAAACTTTATTGAAGAAACTGATCCCCTCAAATTTTGTATTTGATGAAAACAATTTCCTTGTTCATTGTCACTATTTTGACTCAAAATTTTTAAGTAAAAAAATAAAGATTTTTATGATGTCCTACTCAAATATGTAATGTGATTCATGTTTACAAGAGATCCTTTAAATTTTTATTGTTTCTGTTCTTAAAAAGTTAGGTGATCATTTCTTTCGGATCCTAAATTTTTCCTTTACAAGATTTTTCTTTTTTCAATTCCGAGGTATTTTCTTTTTCAACCATGATTTAATGTATCATTCACATTGGTCTGAAGGATTAGAAAGTAATAATACACTTTCATGCAAAGTGCATAGAATATGAGTAAATTTTCTTCAAAATATAAATTAAAGCGAATGCAAGACAATGACAATTCTAAAGGATTTTTATGTTTTCATAATTCTTTTCAATAAAATATTTAAATTCTCTATTAAAATTAGAGCCAAAATGTAAACCATATTTAATATGTATTAGAACTTTAAGTGAAAACTGTTTTAACACCTGAATTGTAATATTTAACAAATTATAAAATTTAATCTTTTAAAATACTTTCATAAAAATACACCTATTAACAATCTTACTTGCCAATTTAAAGAATCAATTCCATTTATATATGCATAAATATACAAATTTAGAATTACAAAAATTGTCTAATATTGCAAAATCAGTGGCTAGATTTCAGCCATTCAGTGTACCTGCCGCAAATATGGTGGTGATTCATCTGTCATTTCAGAAACATGAAACATGAGTTAACACAACACTTGTAAAGCATCTGAACAGCCCTTGGCATTTAATAAGAACTCAATAAATGCTAGTTACTATGATAATAACTATTATTGTTACTTGAGTGATTAAAGTTCGAGAAACAGGGGCACCTGAGTGGCTCAGTTGGTTAAGCATCCAACTCTTGATCTCAGCTCAGGTCTTGATCTCAGGATCATGAGTTCAAGCCCCACATTGGAGATTACTTAAAAAACAAAACAAAACAAAAAAAAAAAAACATTTTGAGAAGCATCAATCCAACGTAAAGTTCCAAAAATAAACTTCAGACCAATGGCAAACCCTACAAGGCAAAACGACAAGTAGAGAAAGCTGGTCTTGGCAGCGCTCTCTGTCCCCTTCTGTACCGTCTTCTCCCCGACAGGGCTTGCTGCTCTGGGCCCCTGGGCCCCACGCAGGTCCTGCCCCAGGACTTGGGCCTCCCCCCCGTATCTGGATCTAGGTCCAGTGATGGAGACACGGGGCAAAGAACACTAACAGAATTATTTTGACTCTGTATACTTGTCGGGGCATGCGCTTGTCACAGGAAGTCTGGAATAATCACTTCTCCTTTTCAGTGGAAGCTGCCTTGACAGAAAAGCAGGATTGTTAGATCTGCCCACCTCCTCTCCTTAGGCTGGATTATTTTGGCGTCACGCGTACATTTACTTTGACTACGTGGAGGAGGAGTCACATCCAATAATCAATGTTGTTTCCCCCCCCCACAGATAATCAACATTGTAGTCTGGAAACACGCATTTTACTGTATATTTTATTACTTCCACCAAGCTTATAAATAGGTCATAGAAATTGACTTTGATCTAAAAAGTTTATTAATTAGGCAGCTTGCTTTACGTAGGGATTAAAAACAAAGAATAAATACAACGATGTCTCATTTCTTTCAAAAGGTTCCCCGGCCCTTTAAATAAAAGCCGAACTACTTCATTATTTTAAAGAGCTCTAGGAGAGGAAACTTTAAAAATGTAAAACAAAAAGAAAAACCTTCTCTGTTTAAGGTACATTAAGGTATCAACAGCTGAAACGAAAGATTAAAGGCAGTTAATTATCCTCCCGGGGCTTGGCACCGTGAGCCCGCCCGTTTGGGATCAAGATCCTGGCCGGGGCTCCTCTCTTTCAAGTTTCTCTCCTTTCTGCAACTTCCAAGTCCTCATTAGACAGTTTTCACTTTTGGTTATATTTACAGTGAGTCAGCGCTGAAGAGGGCTGACTGATGTGACCTGGGCGGGGTGTCCCAGAGCCCTGGCATTCCCCGCTCGCCGTCCTGGGCCACCCGGAGCATCACTTAGATTCCAACGGTGGTCCCGGCCTGAAGGAGGATCCCTGGGGGCCCAGGTGCGTGGGGACCCCAGCGTCCACAGGACCAGGCTCCCGCTGACCCTGGGGTGGGGGAAGGGAGGGCAGGGATGAGGAGGGCAGGGGAGACAGCGGGAGAGGGCAGTGGGGTTGGGCAGGGATGGAGAGGGCAGGGTGTGGGGGGGGGAGGGAAGGGGAGACAGCGGGGGAGAGGGCAGTGGGGTTGGGCAGGGACGGGGAGGGCAGGGTGTGGGAGGGCGGGGGGGGGGAGGGAAGGGGAGACAGCGGGGGAGAGGGCAGTGGGGTTGGGCAGGGACGGGGAGGGCAGGGTGTGGGAGGGCGGGGGGGAGGGCAGGGGAGGCAGCGGGGGAGAGGGCAGTGGGGTTGGGCAGGGACAGGGAGGGCAGGGTGTGGGGGGGGGAGGGCAGGGGAAGCAGCAGGGGCCCTGGGTTCTGAGGCTGGCAGGCGGGCAGACCCGGCACAGGAAGGGGCTGAGCAAGCAGGGCCGGGCTGGATCCTAAGACACCCCGAGGCCCCATGAGCCCCAGACACCCAGAGGCGTCCACACGATGACAATCCCTAACCCGCACACGTGCGCCCTCCCCCCGCACGAGGAGCGTCCCTAACCCCAGCGCACATGCGCCCTCACCTGGCATGAGAAGCGTCCCTACCCCGCACACGTGCACCCTCCCCCCCTCGCATGAGGAGCATCCCTAACCTGCACATGTGCACCCTCACCCCGCACGAGGAGCGTCCCTAATCCCAGTGCGCACGTGCGCCCTCCCCCTCCCCCTGCACGAGGAGCGTCCCTAACCCGCACATGTGCGCCCTCACCTCGCATGAGGAGTGTCCCTAACCCGCACACCTGCACCCTATCCCGCACGAGGAGCTGTCCCTAACCCTCACACGTGTGCCCTCCCCCGCATGAGGAGCGTCCCTAACCCCAGCGCACGTGCACCCTCCACCTCGCATGAAGAGCGTCCCTGACCCGCACACCTGCACCCTCCCCCGCACGAGGAGCGTCCCTAACCCAGCACACAGGCACCCCACCCCTGCAGGCTGCCTGCTTCCCCCCACCCCCACCCCTGAGGCTCACCATCCTTCTCCTGAGTCTACTCGCGGCTCTAAGAGTGCGTCCTTCCCTTAGGGTCCTCACCTCCCCTGTGCTCGCCAGTCACTAAGGGCACCCGCAGCTAGTGGGAGACGCCATGTTAATAGCTTCTGCTATTCTGTTATTAATCCTATTAATAAGATCTTACTACCCTTTTGTCAGCCTAATCCAGAGTCATCCCCGCAGAACCTAAGAAGATGGCATAAAGCTTGTTTGTCTGTTTTCCAGAAAGATCAGCAGGTGCTGCAGCTGGACTTAGAAGACCTAGCGGGGTTCCTCACGGCCTTGGCTGTGCGTGCCCTGAGCCTCAGTCTTCCTCTCCCGGAAGATGGGAACAGCAGAGCTTTGGACCTGCCAGACAGGACTCGGAAGGTGAGGTGCACACGGGAGCACTTTAGGAGCTTGAAGTGATGAGCGGCAGGGCTTCTGCTCCCGTTCTGGAAGCCGAGGGTAGGGGCTGCGGCTTATTCAATGGGAGGCCCGACTACTGCTCTAAGTATGTCCTTGGCAATTCTGGGGTCGTCTTAATCATAGTGTCGGGGCCTTTGCACGTCTGCACACTTGCCTTTGTGTGTATTTTTCAAAATCTGCTTTGGATAAATCTGTGGGGCCAGGCCTTGCGGCTTGAGCAGAGCAGAGGCCGACCCAGGCTGCAGACGCCCTCCACGTTCACCATGTGGGCCCCTGGGGACAAAAGGCCTGGTTGACCCTTGTCCCTGGGAAGCTGCGGAGCTGCTAAGGGCAGGCCAGACCCAGAGCGAGCGGCCCGTGATCAGAGGGGTAGGAAATGAGCCCGGCTTGCAATTCAGGCACAGGAGAAGGTTCTGGGAACAGAGTTGCGGCCCGTTTGGGCGGCAGCACCACAGGTCCCTGGGAGGCCCATCAGCCAGAGGTGGTTTAGGGACCGGAGAGCAAGGACTCGTCCGATTGTCATGGGCCTTGAAATGGGGCCAGAGTTTAATATGGAGCCCACAAAATTAACTGGAGTTTTTCTGACTTTATTTCTAACTTAATGTGCGGTTCAATTGTCTCTTGTCAACGTATTCTTGAGTTTCTAAATCATAAAATCAGCTCATATCATTTGCTTCTTAAATATTCACGCTTACTTCTTTTCTATCAGTAATTATTTTCAAACTTAGTGGTTTTTTTTTTTTTTGCCTTAAATTGTGTTTTATGAATTAGTTTCTCGCCTTTTTCTTCTTGTCCATGTTTTGCTGGTCAATATCTTATCCCCTTTTCACTTTTCTCACATTAATTCGCATGCATTGTTTTGTTCAGGGGCGGACGGCTTGCTTTTACTTTTGCCCAGTGTGAAGGTTCTATCTTTTCTGGTGGTGGCTCAGCGTACTCACAATTATTATTATATCTCATATGTCGATCTTAATTTGTTCATATCTTCAAATACTATCAATTTCGTCTATTGTTTTATTTTTTTATATGAATTATATTTTGTTCGCTTTTACGTTCTTCCATGATTTCACCTACAACCTCTATGTTTTATAATTCTAACAGAAGCCACCTTTGGGTATTACAAATTTTCTATATTTTTATAATGATCAAACTCAAGGATAAAATGCTACATTTAAAATGTTACATAATTAAAATAGAGAATGTATTCCTTTTTTAAGATTTTTATTTTTATTTTTATTTTTTAAGGTTTTTTAAAATTATTTATTCATGAGAGACACAGAGAGAGAGGCAGACTCTCATTTCTCTACCATGATGCCCTTGTTTCACTTTTTAGTGTCTGTTCATATAACTGAATTCAGGTAATTATTGGTAAAGCATGACTCTTCCATTAACTATCTTTTATTTTAAGGAATCCCTTGATATTTATTTTATCACTATACGGTGAAGCTCTCACTAGATCTAGTTCTATGTGTAACATGTTGAGCGCTCATCACTGTCTCTAAACATACCCGTAATCTTAGATTCTTCTTTAATCAATCACGTCTCCGTGAGTGGACTATACCCCATCAAAGAATTTCTCTTCCAACAAAGGTGGGTGAGTGATCTATTTCTGAGTCTTTCTGCATCTGAATGTGTCTCTATTGTCTTAATTTATGAAGAGAAACTTCCCTGCCTACGAAATTCTTTGTTTTTCTCCCTCAAATGTGAGTACATGTAATTTTATTTTCTTCTGTGTTTATTTTGCTGAAGACAAATGTGAAGTTTTCTTCTGTTTTTATGATATTTTGGAAATACGCTTTTCCCTTTTTTTGATCCATTTATTCAACAAAGATTTGTTGAGCAACTAATATGGCCCAGGCTTTTACCTTGTCGCTGGGGGATGACAGAGCCAAACATTTCTGTCCTCGGAGGATTACATCCTTTTTTCTCTAAAATGCCCACATGATTTTAAATTTTATGATTGTATTTAAGTTTTTGTTGTTAGATGCATCTTGCTCGACCGAGGTTTTAGCTTGAACTAAAGCTAAGGTAGCTTTCTTAAAACAGCAAAAGCAAATGCATTTTCAGCTCCAGACTCTTCTTTCTACTTATGCCTCGATTTTTCAATATTTCCCCCCCAAGGGGAACCTATGATTCTCGGTTGCATCTTTATTCTCCATTACAAATGTCATCTTTCCTCCGAAAACTTTTATAAACTTTTCATTTGCTTTCTCATTCTGAGAGCTGCGCAAATTAGTTACTCTACACAACTTATTAGCTTTCTGGGTGTCCTTTTTTTGCTATTCCGTGTTTCACTTCCGGTTTTATTTCTGTTTTTGCAGTTTTAGTTCTTTATTCCCACCCTGAGCCTTCTTTCGTGCATTCTATTACCTTTCTGCCCTGCTGATTCATTAGTTATTTATGTCCCTTCAAATTCTGTTATTGCACTCACGTCCGTGCACAGAACAGCATACGTGTCAAAGGATACACCTGGTGGATTTTCGCTTTGTACGAACAACTGTGTAACCAGTTCCAAGCTCAAGATTCAGAAACGTCTTTCCTGCTCCTTTCCAGTCACTATTTCCCTCTAAAGTTACTCTACTGTTTTTTATTTCATGTCTTTTTTTTCCCCTTATTTCTTCTTCTTCTTTTTTAAAATAGGTCTGTCTACTTATATCTCAAGGAGGATGCAAAATCCTATCCTAAAATTTTCTCCATGTTCCTGTAGTAGATTATCTGCAGAGAAATGTTCTTTCACTTGATTTTCATGATGCTTCCTTTTTCCCTTTTATTAGTGTATTGTCATGTCCCCACCACATTTTTTTTTTCTTTCAGAAAATGAGAAAACATGGGGGACACCTGGGTGGCTCAGACGGTGAAGTGTACCTTGGGCTCAGGTCATGACCTCAGGGTCCTGGGCTCAAGCCCCAGGTCAGGCTCCCTGGCGGCAGGGTCTGCTTCTCCCTCTGCCTCTTATCCCACTTGTGTTCTCTCACTTTCTCTCACTCTCTCTGTCAAATAAATACAATCTTTAAAAAAATAAATGAGGAAACCTATATCCAAACTCACTGCTTGCTAGGTTATCTGGATTTCCTGCTGACTCTTCATATTTGTAAGCCGCCTGTTGGTTGGATCCATTTCTCAGGCTTTAGCTGGTTATCAATAGACCCTACTTGATCATCAAACGTTGCCCTGTAGGGGTGAGGTTTTCCGTTATTCCTGCTGCCTCTGTCTGTGGTGTTATGAACCAGGTAAGGACTGAAACAGCAGGATCTCCACTTGCACCCCGCCCGACGTCAGTATTTAGAATCCTACCTGCTGTGGTCCCCTGTGGGCCCCCACCCACCAAGGTGTTGCTCCGCCCCCTGCCCTCACCCTGTATGTACCTACATCCAAGCCACCCAAGCGCAGTCTTGACGTTTGGTGGAACAGTGGGGGGCTGAACTAACAGAACCGTGGGCACTTAGAGATGTGATCTCCACGAGGCAGTGAGAAGGCTGGGACGTTCGCATCATCCAGGCCTTCCTCCTCCCAGTGTGGTCTCCTCACCTGGAACATCAGCTTTCACCCGGGGCTTCGTTGTGGTTTTGTTTGTTTGTTTTTTAAGATTTTATTTATGTATTTGAGAGGCAGAGAGAGGGAGAGAGCAAGAGCACACAAGCGGGTGGGGGCAGAGGCAGAGGGGGAAGCAGGCTCCACACACTGAGGGGCTGGATCCCGGGGCCCCGGGGTCATGACCTGAGCAGAAGGCAGATGCTTAACCCACTGAGCCACCCGGTGCCCAGACCTGGGAATTCTTTGAACTCAAGTCTCCCCGAGACCTACTAATCAGAATGTGCGACTTTACAACACGCGTTAGATTCCTGTGTCCACGAAAGTCGGGGTAGCGTCGATTCGGGGGCTGTTGAAAGTCTCGGTGGCCGGTCTCATGCCCCGGATGCTGATTATTTTCAGATTGAAGGCACAGGCCGGAGTTACCCAGTGGGGGACAGGTTCCCGGGACAGAGGGCCACCCTCTGATGCCTCATGCTCTCTGGGCCCTGCACCCTGACTTGTCCTGGTGTCGCCAGAATCCGTCTGTGCCATGGGGCGGAGGGCCCCGATTCTTGGCCACCTGTGGCCAGGGCTCACCCTCAATGTCTGGGGGCCCCGACAGCCCTTGAGTCCTGGCCGCTCTGTGTGACAACATGTCGTGGTGGGGAGGCCTCCGCAGCTTCGGGTCCCCATGGTCATCACTTGGGACCCAGCGCCGGCCCTGTCATCCACAAGTCTCTGGTCTGCCCCCTTCCCACCTCTCAGGGCCACGCGACTCCCCGGGCACGCCTGGGCCACCCGGGCTCGTCCTTCTGGTCTAAAACTATCCTACCGGTGTCCAGCCTGAATTCCTCCTACGAAATCGTTCAGGGCTGCACTTAGCATCTGAGCCAGACCAGGCCGTGGGAGGTTGGCGGGCCCGCATCTCCAGACATCTGCCCACCCCAGGCCACCTCTGGGGCTTTGAGCGTGTAACCGGGTGGAGAATCACCAGGAAGGGGTCTCTGATCTGGGGCGAGGGCAGCAGGTATCTTCCCACCTTCCTTCAAGGATGCAGGAGTGCTGTGCTTTACAAAGTACAGAAAACCACCCTGCCCACGTAGGTATGAGTCTACGCATCTCTCTCTCCGTCAGTCAGCATCATCTGTCATGTCTCAGCTACTCATTTCCCCCCCACAGTTGACACTGGCCTTACTTTGGAAGAACACACCTCTGGAGGTTGTCGGTAGGTGCCTGCATGTGGACACATCACAGGCCACCCGGGCGGGTGTGTGCCCAGTTCCTGGACTAGCCCGAGACCAAATGAAGCCAGGAATCTCCACTAATTGAAGCGGGGCTTTTACTACTTTCATTTGGATTTTCCATCCTCCAACCAGGAAAATCAGGACTTGCAGACATGAAAGGCTGTTGCAAAGGAGGAACGTGGGTGGCTAAAACACCAGCCTTTACCAGCTCCCTCCTGGGGAACCGAGCTATGTTTTGTGCAAATCTACTTTTATTTCCTTTCGATCTCTAATATAGGATTTTACCCTGGGTGGGGGGAGGGAAATACGTGATCATGTCTAAAAGATGCATTTTTGACAGAGCTGGTTAAATTTCGGTGACGAGAGGGGGTGCTTGAGGGTCGCAAAGCCCCCAGTGCACCCTGGGGAGCAGTCAGTAGCCAAGAGGGAAAGGTCAGGTTTGAATCTAGTACAGAAGTTCAAGGTTTGTGGAGATTTGGGATTTCATAAGCCCGGGTCAGGAATGGGCTCTTCTAGTCTCTGAGTCCTGGAGACAGACTTTAAGAGAAGTGTGTGTGTTTCTGCTTTCTAAGACCTTAGATAGAAAAATGAAGCCATCCCTATGGTTCCCTTCTCTGCTGGTGAGCCCTGATTAACGAATGAATGTCTTTGTTTTTGCTCAACTATGAACTGGCGTACTTAATTAGCACTAATTCCTAATTATCGGTGGTAACAGGGAAAGGGGGAAATGAAGACGTATCGAATCCCTTGATAGTCATTTTAGCCACAGGAAAAAAAATGAAGCTGTTCCCTCCATTCGCGGTTCTTGACACCAGACTTCTTCACACACGCGGCCCGCCTGCAACTCACACATGCTAGATGGCGACTTCGGAATGACTCAGAATCTTCGGGTTCTTAGATTTCTGATTTCATTTCTTTTACTCTTGTCTCTATGATCCTGAAGTTTGACCTCATAATCTACTCTCAGATTTCAACCTTTGGTCTCCCAAGGTTACGTGATCTTGGACATGGGCACAACTGCACAGTTTTTACTTATTTCTTTCTTTTTTTTTGAATTTTTATTTATTTATGATAGTCAGAGAGAGAGAGAGAGAGAGAGGCGCAGAGACACAGGCAGAGGGAGAAGCAGGCTCCATGCACCAGGAGCCCGACGTGGGATTCGATCCCGGGTCTCCAGGATCGCGCCCTGGGCCAAAGGCAGGCGCCAAACCGCTGCGCCACCCAGGGATCCCTACTTATTTCTTTCTAAGACTTGATCATTTTATGATCTATATTTGATTTTATCTTAGTTACCTTTGTTTATTATTTCTAAAGATCATTTATTTCTAAGGCTGTTCTCGTGGTGAGAACTTCAGACTCCACTTCTGACTGCAACAAATAATCCCAGAGCGGTGGCCGGCTTGGCCAGCTTTAGCTACCCTTTAAAAGATAAAAGCGAGAACATAGCCCATCATTGCTCTGTGATCACTAGAATTAAAAACAAGGATGTAAGTTTTATCACTTTTCTCTATTGTTGTATGCTCCATTTTTCTGCTCAAGATGATCAAAATGGATTTAGTTTAGAAAACAACAGTATGGGTAATAGCCATGTGGTGCAGTTGGCTACATTCCGTCTCATACTCACAGAGATGTATCCTAGGCCAACGTTAGGACCAAAGCTTAAAATCACAATTTTAGAACTAAAAGAATTTAGTGATCAGCAATGTAGACTAGTATTTCGTTCATGAGCATTTCCTGAGCTTTCCCGGGCTGAGAGGTGAATGCAGGGAGTCCGAGGGAAGACGGAGGGGTGAGTGAGGGCACCGCCAGCTGAGGAGGGCTACCTCACCCCGTTCCTATAGCAGCATCTCATTTTGCCCATGTAAGAGCCAAGGAAGATTTTTGTTTGAACAAAGGCTATTGTGAATTAAAAATACTAACAGCGGTGGACCTGGCCTATTCTGTTGTTCTCTACTTGAGGAAATAGAGATCCAAAGAAGTCAAGTGGATAAGATCGTATGAAGGCCAAAGACCCTCCACTCCGCCAGCACTTCTCCCACGGACCCACAGACTTTGTTCTGTGGAATTGTTTCCCCAAACGATTAAATGTCGGTCATCGTTCCCATAATTCTTTAGGTAACTAGTAAGTAGTATGTGGATTTCAAATTCATAAACTACTTACAAAATTCTAATTTTATGTTTTTATAGGAAGCCTGGGGTATTTTTGTTGATCCCCAGAGATCAAGGAACATTTCACTGTTTTTCGCTCCATAAAAATTTTGGTGCAAGGTAAGTAAAATGTGTTTCTCGACCTTAAGAAGTTTATTGTTTAATGATAGAACCTATTTTGGGGACAAAAATTATGGAACCCCAGAATTAATCACACACATTAAGATTGAAGGCAGTTTAATATAATCTGTTTCAATACGGTTTAATCAATTTAATACAACTTAAAAGACATATATTTTTTTGCATGAATGAAAGAGTAATGTCAACATACAATGTTTCCATTTAATTATCTTAGAAGCGATGGCAATTTTTATGCTTGTCTAAAACAGCCATCGACGTGAAATTATAAATGTGTCAGGAGGTAAATGCCAGAATTTTATCCATTTCCATTATTGGAAGCTATGTTATATTTTCTTTTCTAAACTACTTTTTCTCTATTTCCTTGAAATATTTATGAAAAATAGCATTTCATTGCCTCCAAATTGCATCTGATATTTCCAAATACATGAAGGCCAAATCTTGAATCAGTTGCTATCAATAGTTAATTTATGTAATTTCTAAGCATAGTGAATTCACTTCATAAAAATTTTATATGCACATATATTCTTTTAAATATTGCTATTTCACTAATTCATTCATTAATTTAACAAAGAGTCTTTGCTATTTCCCAGGGACTGTGCTAGGAATTATATTTACTCCCTTCAAGGAACGTGGAACAAATAGCAGGGTTTTTTTGTCTTATGTTTTCTTTTCCCAATAAAAATAATGAATTGTGCATTGGAAAAAAGATGCTATCAACAAATTATAAACATATAAATACATACTGAAAGAAAACATTTCCATTATAAAGCAAACATATCAAACACATCATTCTAGAAAACACCATGGATGCCTTTTAAATTAGAAAAGAAAAAAAAATTAGAAAAGAAAATACGTCCTTTTGCAATACAAACATATAGGGATAAGCCCTACCAATGAATACGAGAGCTATAAAGATCTGTTCTAAGTAGCTTTTACATAAAATGAAATCCTATATTGGATAGATTTGCCAGCCACCAGGCTAAAGGTAGGAGCCACCGAATGTCTATAACTCAAAATAAAATCAACAAATTTCCCTTCTATGTGAGGGTAGCCAGGGGAACATTATTGACTCATCTGCAATCTTCTACATGGTAATTTCTGGTCTGATATTTGCTCTTTCTCACCTCCCTAATGTAGCATCATCTAGATTGCCTCGAGGTTATCGTGCACAGGAGGCCCCTTTTGGGGGACTTACTGGGCCTCCAGTGAAGGGAATCAAGCTGATCAAAGGAAAGGAAGGGATGCTTCGAGTTGTTTTGTGATGACTTTCATTTCTCAGTGACCTTCCACCACACCATCCCACTTATTTATTATTCTTTTTTAAAGATTTTATTTATTTATCCATGAGAGACCCAGAGAGAGGCAGAGACACGGGCAGAGGGAGAAGCAGGCTCCCTGCGGGGACCCTGATGTGGGACTCGATCCTGGGTCCCCGGGGTCACGCCCTGGACCAAAGGCAGATGCTCAACCTCTGAGCCCCCCAGGTGCCCCCCATCACCACACCATCTAATTAAAAAAAAATTCAACATAATGTGCAACTCCCTCAGTGAGTGCAGTGGGAACACATAAACCAGACCTTATCCAGGAGGCTTTCCGCCTGTTGTCGCCCAACCAGAGATCCCGGGCAGGACGGTTGACACGGCTGTGGGCCGGGGTGCCCGGCCCCGCTGCTAAACACAAGTTAGTGTGTGGATGTGTTCCAAGCTGGCAGATGAAAAGGTCTAAAGTTCAGATTGTTTCAAAAAGTCATAATGAAGCCACAGGGCCATGTTCTTTGGGAGGGAAATGTCAGCTCCTGGAGAGTCTCCGCGACTGTGAAGGACACTTCATTACAGAGAGGAGCTGACTTAATATACTCTGCAAATGACTTCATAACATTCAATTTTGAGAATCATTTCCATTCTTTCATTCACAGTACATAGGGAAATTAGCTGAAATATTTATCTTTGCTTCTCCCTTCGTTTTATAGCTCTAGTCAAAAACTAATTAGACTCCGGCAGTTAAATCCTGCATGTAGGCACCCCCCACCCCCCGACCCCCCAAGGAGTTTCCTCTTTATAGGACGTCCTCGGTTGCAGAGAGTGGCCTATTTAACTTAAAGGGTTTTCGTTTAGGTTTTGTTTGTTTGTTTTCTTTTAAACATATTATTTATTTATTTGACAGAGAGACAGCAAGAGAGCAAAGCAGGGGGAGGGCAGAGGGGGAGGCAGAAGCAGGCTCTGGATGCGGGGCTCCATCCCCGGACCCGGCACCGTGACCCGAGCTGAAGGCAGACGCTGCAGCCACTGAGCCACCCGGGTGCCCCTGTTTGTTCCTTTAATGCCAAGTTTATCTGTCTTTCCATGAATATGTGATAGGCGGTCGGGAAAAGAGGAGACGAAGGGAGCCGAGCACCGAAACCAGTAGGCACGTAGTGACACCTGGTTCATGAAGGAGAAGGGAAGGCTTGTCATCATCTTGGGCACCAGGCAGGTAGGAGTCCTCCCAGGGATCCCCCAAGCCTTCTCTCTATCTGAGGGCAGAGATCGCTGTGGGGCAAGTCAGGGTACAAGACTCATCCTTACCCGTAGGGCCAGGAGGCTCCCCCTCTCCTGCCAGACGGTCCCAGAATATGGGTATCTGCCCGACTTGCTCCCCCAGGGCCCTCCCTACTGCAGTGACCTGGCCTGGTGGGTTCCTCTCCCAGGGGTAGGCGGGTCTTGGGTGCCCTCTGAAGGGTGGGGACGCTCTGAGATGGGGGCGCAGGGGTGCAGGAGCCGTCTGATGCTGCTCTCAGTGCAAGAGAGAGGCACTCCCTTTCCTTCCGTGGCTCCTCCTTCCCACCCCCCTCGGAGGCCCTGGCCGTCTGGGTGGCAGGATCGAGCTGCTGTGAATCTGCCACACACCTGACGGGACAACGTGGGTTCGGTGGTGGTGGTGGTGGTGCTTTATTGTTTGGTTGGTTCGGGTTTTCCCTCCGTTTTAGACTAAAGGCCACATAGGTCAGTAGGGCCGGCACCTGGGCCCGTCCCACCAGAGCGGGGCCTCCCCGAGGGGTCTGTGGCCACGGCACCCGAAGTGCTGCTTGGCCGTGCTGGCCTTCCGCCCGGATTGTCCTTGAGAGTCTGGTGGCGGGAGGATGGTCGCTCACACCGGAGCCTGGAGTCCCCAGCGACCCTCACTGCTGCCCCAGAAACTCGAGCGGTGCTGTTTCCCACCTCAACATAAACAGAAACAGTGGAAAGTAGGTCGCCATAAACCACACCAGGCGCGTGCTTGATTACTCTCAGCATCAGTGGGATAAGGGCACTGAGTTTTTCCTTTTTTTTTTTTTTTAATTTACGTAAGAGAGAGGGAGAGCGGGAGAGGGACAGACCCCTCTGCGGACAGGGAGCCCGACCGCGGCTCCATCCCAGGGCCCGGGGACCACGACCTGAGCCCGAGGTGGACGTGCCCCGCTGGCCCCCGGGTGCCCGGGCACTACGGTTTAAGTCCGTGTAAGAGCCCGAGCTATGGTTCCCTTGAGGCGCGTTGGGCAGGAGGATAGACGGCCCGGCCTGGGGGTGGCACCGCCGAGTCTACAATGCACGGAGGCTGAGCCCTAACATGGGAAACATCCTCGAGTTCACACACTGGCAAATTCTCATTTATCCGAGTCACCGTTTGTGGACTACCCCGTGCCCTCTGCCTCGGGGCACCACACCGGCCTCCGGATGGCGAGAGGACGGAGCGCGTGGGACCGAGGCCTGACTTACCCACGAAGGGACGGGCACATCCACACGATAACACGGCTGCTGGGACCCACGGGCGGCGGGCCGTGGGCAGGGGCTGGGAGCGACCTTGACAGCAGCGCCACGTGGGACGAGGGCGTGTAGGGGAAGGGAAACAGAACGTGTCTGCGCATGGCAGGCGTCCGGGGCCAGCTCAGCCGAGGCTCTCAGCCCCCCAGCGTGACGGGGTGCGGCAGGCAGGGCACGATGACCCCCGACCCTGCCGCCCAGCCTGGAGCTCCGCGCTGGCCTCTCGCTTCCCGGTGCCTGGAGCCGGCAGGTGTTGGAGGCGAACCCCTGTGCTTAGGTGACACCAGGTGCCTACGTCACAGGACACGGATGAAGGGCTTTCTGCAGAGGTCATGAAGGTCCCTAATTAGCTGACTTGGAGTTAAAATCCAAAGGGAGCCTCTGCTGGGTGGGTCCGACCCAACCAGAGGAGCCGTTTGAAGGCGGGTCAAGCGGTCAAAATAAAGCAGTCCAGAAGCTTCTGCTGACCTCGAAGGAGCGAGCCGTCAGGAGCCACGACTGCAGGGAAATGCCGCTGCCGACAGCCTTGATGAGTTTGGAGGAGGACCCTGAGTCTCAGGCGACTTCACCCTCTGGTGCGGCCTCCGCAGCAATCTGTGGGCACCCGAGCAGAGGCCCAGGCACGCCCGGCCAGGAGCTGGGGGGCGGCAGGTGGGTGTTCCTGCGGAGCGCTCGCTCCAGCGCGGCACAAACGGCCCCCGAACGCTGGGTGCAGGCCCTGGCGTACTCAAGCCGACGTGCCCGTGGCCGTGGGGCAGGCCCAGGCGTTTTGTATTTTACTGAAAACGACTCAGATTCATAGAAGAGTGTTGCCATCTACTTTTGCCCCCAGATACTAGATGATTATGGCTTTAGTAGCGAATGTTTAGTCCGTTACGGTCACGGAAACACTATGCATCCAGATAGATGGGTGGTGGTTTCAGGGACATGGATTGAGAGCATCACTCGAAGGCTTTCAAGCATAAAACTGTATTAGGATAAAATCCCGAGGAAGAGGTATGGAAATAGGAGTCCACGCACAGAAGTGAGTGATGTTAAAATTCTGTTAAAGATCATGTTTAGGTGACTTTTAAACAGTTTTTGGTGGTTATCAAGTTACTATGTTATTTAGGTTTCACTGGATACATATGAGGAAATGTAATATTCATGCTGTATAGTGTAAACAGTATTACAATGTCTATTAAAGACATAAATACTTAGAATCACATTTTTATAACTATTTAAGCTTATAATAACGTTTTTTTTCAGTAGAGACCTACAAGTCTATGAGAAGATACATGGTCTCACCGCATTCTCTTAGAAATGTGAACAGAAAGTTTCGAGACCAAAGGTGAGAGAGAGGATGTTGGAAAGGTAACTTAGAGCTTAATTAAACCTACTGGGATAAAGCGAGTCCGTTTTATCTGCTACGGACCAGGGAGCCAGTGGCGCGGGAACAAGGCTGCTCTTACTTCGGACGCCCTCACCGGGCCCCCGGGTGCCACCCGCCTGCCAGGCTCTCTGGTCCCAGCGGTGCTCCCAGGAAGTCTGGGTCACTGCGAACCAAGCTTCAGGTTCCAAGCGAAGATTTCACTCCTGAGTCTTGGGGGGATGAGACGTTCCTGAGGCACTTTCTGCTGATGTGTGTTTGCCCCAGCCCGGGCGGCCGAGCCCCCGGCACACGAAGGCCGGTTCAGGCCCCGGGACTCAGGCCGGCGGAGCCGGGGCGAGGGGCGCTGCGCACGGTGGGCCCCCGGCCGGGAAAGGACCAGAGGTCGGGAGGCTCAGCCCGAGTCCCTGGGCGAACCCTTCTGTCCGGGCACCGAGGCCCCTTGGGCTTCGCTCTCGTGGCACGAGCCCTGGCGCCGCTTCCCCAGGTCTCCCATCAGGAGGATTTTAGGCCACGTGTTTTGCGGCCTCCTATCACTTGTTCATCCTAGTGTCCTGCGTGCTTTTCCCACGTGGTACCACAACTATGCTGTCACCGTAGTGGCCAGGATCCCCGGGCTGTGTGTTGGGGGATAACCCGGGCGGCCCATCGTGCCCCGGGCTCCTTGCTTCACCCGACAAGTCTGCGCGTACCTGCCCGACTGTGGCGGGAGAGCCGCTCTGCGGTGTAGCCCTCACCTGTCCGGCCCGGGCTCGTGGGCCTCGCAGGGCGCCCAGCAGCCCCTCTGGCACCTGGTGGACCGCGTGCCACACTGTGGCCTCCTGCCCCTCGCTGTAAGGAGAGCTGCACCGCCCGCACGGTCCCGGCCCGATTTGGAAAGGCCTGTCCGTGGCGAGTAGGAGCTGCGTTTTTCCACCACGAAGGGATCCATGAGTGCAGCTCCCTCGGTGACTTAAAGAGTGCGCCCCGCTCCCCGAGGAGCTGGAACCCTAGCAGACAACGAGAGGGCGCAGAAATGGCCTGAGATCTAAGGGAGGAAATAAAAAATGCCACGTTAATATGCAGTGGTAGCCTCCTCCCCAAATTCTATTTGTGCTTTCCTGTGATAAAAGGGACACATCGTGACTCTAAATTTGTGCAAAAGAGCTTCTCCTACTCATGTAGGTCGGGGCGATTTCCTGCACCGGATACTTGATCAGAGACTGGTGGTTCTCGGGCAGGCCCTCGTTTGGTTCCTGATTTAACATGAGTCTAACCCAATACTGGTGTGTATCTATAAAAAGACCAAGGTTTGTATCTTGGTCACATTCAGCTTAATAAACCAAAATTCTGTTAGCGTAATTGGTTTGTTTCCTCGCGATTAAATATTCTTCCAGAAATTTTCAATGTGATTTGTTGCTCATCTTTCTATTTAGAGATGCGTTGATTGTCTTGTTTGGCGCCGTTGGCCTAGATATCCAGAAAACAAAGTGAAAGAATCAGGTAATTAGCACCACAATCGATGAATCACTGTTTATTGGTGTGAACACTGTTTTCTGACATCAGAATCTTAAAAGGGCCACCGACATGATACAGGATACGACTGTATTATAGATTAATGGGCGCCTTAAAGAGGGCTTCTGTTTTCCACACAAAGGCAGCTGAAAATAACGGAAACAGAGAGTGAAATTTTTGCAGAGTGTTTTATGTACAGCCCCATATTTATAGAACCTTTATTTTTCCTTGATGTTACTAAATAATAGATTGTATGATATATCTTGATACTTCTGTTAAGGAGATGAATTTGAAGGACTCTTTCTAGTTCACAAAAGTCTTATAGCAGAAGCTTCCTCAGAAAACCTAGTTACACTTGATACATCTTTGTCACACCAAATTCTGTTTGCTTTCATAAAACAGATTTGTATTCCTGTTTCGTATTTAATTTTGTGCATATTGTCAACCAAAGTTCTGCATTTTAATGGCCTATTTGTAATAGCTGATTGACTAAATAAATTTCCCCAAATATCCATCCCCCCAATTAGCTACTTTCCTGCTTGTATAACAAGTGTTCACATTTATGCTGCTGTACAATGAATATAAACAGATTTATTTTCTATTCACCTGACGTGAATTTGCTGCAAAATATAATTGAGTGGTGATTACGATAAACGATGTTTTATTTTCTAAATTCGAAAATTTAGTTTGTCATCTGAAAAAACTTTTGAGTGGAAATGCTTGGAATGGATTTACTTATAGGCTTTATTAAGGGAAGTAGCCCAGGACGGTTTTTGTAATGTTAAAAAATAAATTAAATCTTTGAAGTTGATCAGGAACAATTAATTGACTTCAAAAAAACTATTTTTTAGACTCTACAAGAAATTTTATGAATGGAAAAAATTGTCAAATTCAAGTATAATGTGTTATAAGGCAACAAAATACATTAGAATGAAATTTTATTGTAATATAGGTAACATTGAAATTATATCCATAATTCTTGGACATATGAGTTGAGACTGGGTTTACTGATGCAAAGTCTCAAACTCAAAGACAGTATGATAGG